CCCCGAAAAAACACCCTGGGCCTGTGTCTCTGGCACTGAAGGCAAACCCTGGCCTGGGTCACTTGGCCTGGGTCACTTGCCCTGAACACACATTTGACCTGGGTCACTGGTCCTGAAGTAGCACCCTGGGCCTGGGTCAGTGGTCCTGAGAGCACACTCTTGGCCTGGGTCACTGGCACTGAAGGCACACCCTGGACTTGGGTCACTGGCCCTGAAGGCAACCTTGGGCCTATGTCACTGGGCATGAAATCACAGCCTGGGCCTCGGTTACTTTCTTAGATGGCATACCCTGGGCCTGGGTCTCTGTTGCTGAACGCACACTCTGGACCTGGGTTATTGGCCCTGAAGTCACATCTTTGGCCTCGGTGACTGACCCTGAAGAAACGCACATAGCCTGGGTCACTGGCCCTGAAGACATCTCCAAATTCAATTTTACTGCTCCAGACACCATATTTGATATTCCTTTATATAAATAAACCTATCCTGGTCTATGTCTTTGATTTCCTGGAAACCCTGAATAAAAGGTTTCAGTCCAGAAACTTTTTTTTTGTACTGCAGCAATAAAAATGTTTCCAAAGGCAAGAAAAACATTGACTAGTAGGCTCTTTATTGTAGAAATAGGAGCCACTGAGCACTTTTCTTTTCTCAAGCTTTTCAGAATTTTTATTGTACTTAAAGCAGCCTAGAAATGTTGAAATACTTGATGCTCCAATTAAAATACCTATCATCTGTTTAGTGATGGGCACTACACTGTGCACTGAGAACACAGAAATGAAGTAAATCAGTTCTGTTCTTAAGATGCTTATAGTCTTGAGTGGGTCTCAGGGTTACATAAGTAAGTGCAGGATTAGATAAATTTGTTTTGTTGCCATAAAAAGCCAAACTCAAGATGAGCTATTAGAGAATTTTTAAATTGCAGAATAATCAAGTTTAAAAGAAAACAAAAATCACAGAGACAGAGCTCACTTTAGTATCCTCTCTCTAAAATTCCACCAAGCAGATTTTCATGTCTTCCCCAAGAAAGTGGCTTCAGACCACAGGGCTGGCAAACTATGGCCCAAGGCTCAAATCCCACCTACATCTTGATTTTTTATAAATAAAGATTTATTGGAACACAGCCATGCTCATCATATACATACTGTTTACGGCTGTGCCATCTGACTACATCAGAGCTGAATAGCTACAACAGACGTCACGTGGTCCCCGAAATTGAACATATTTACTATTTTTTTAATTAAAGTATAGCCAGTTTACAATGCTGTGTCAATTTCTGGTGTACAGCATATGAACATATTTACTATTAATCCTTTACGGGAAAAGCCTGCTAACTCCTCCATCAGATGATTAACTTGGCAGTCCTGTGTCTAAGCAACAAGCTGGACCCAAAGGTTAATAGTTGGCTGCTTTGAAATCAGTATTAAAGGAAATGAAACAACCCATGAGGCAATTTTATGTCCAACAGCTTGACAGTGGCTTTCCCTCCGCTTAGCCCATGTCTGTCTTGTTTGCTTGGATAATGTTGATTGTCTGCACCTGCAGGGAAGGTGGTCCACACCTGACCATCAAACTATTCATCATAGCCCTCCACGTGTTTTTTGTATGTCCCCCTTTTCCTCAAAACCCAAAATATTTTGAGGTCCTTTGAGTCATCAAAATGCAAATGGCACAATGAAAACCTTGACCCTAGTTCCACCTGCCACATGACTCCCCAATACATGATTCTCAGCAAATCCTTTTCTTTGTGTTACCCTGATTTGGTAAATGTCATAAAAAAAAGTATCAACTATTTTCTTGAGAGATTTTCTTGTAGTCTTTGTAGAAGGGAATTATTCCCTCAATATCAATGTCTCGCATTCTGCTTTTCTAATTTCGCCTCCTGCCAGTAACAGGTGTTCTCATTTGTTTACAAATACTTCCTTATGCACCTTAACAATTTCCCATGAGACAGCAGATTCCTTAGTGCCATTTAATTTGGAATCACTTATATGAGGTAGACCTGCATTAAAATATTATCAGTTACTCCCAAATAGATCATTAGGCAACTGAACAAGCTATAATAACTTTTTTTTTAAGTGGGGGAGATAATTAGGTTTATTAATTCATTTAATGGTGGTACTGGGGATTGAACCCAGGACCTTGTGCGTGCTAAGCATGTGCTCTACCACTGAGCTTATAATAACTTAAAAGTACCCAAAAATCTAAAGGTGTTCAAAAGAAAGTAGTTTAGAATGATAAATAACTTCCTTAAAAATAAGAAGTCAGCAGTGTTAAAATAGGTGTTTCTCATAGAAGTACAGGATAAGATAAGAAGATACTGGTATGTCCTAAGTGAATGTTGATTCTGGGGTGGGGGGACTTGACTTGGTTTATGTTTGCTGTTTGTTGTGTTTTGGTTTGGTTTGAAAGATGATACTTTGATCGAGCTACTCCTTCGCCCCACATTTATAAGCTTCCCGCTGTGACTACAGGTTAAACCTGGGCTCTTGAACAAACTGACCCTAGTAGTCTGCTTGCTGATCCTCAATATCACTTTGACCTCTGTGCTTTGATGTTTTAAAGCCAGAATGGCTCTGGGTCAATCAGAAACTTACCCCTTCATAAAAATTGTTCCTTCCTGACATTTTCTAATGATACTTCCCAGCTTTCTTGACATAACTTAATCCCGACTTATAAATGAGTTTGAGCCCCAAGAAACCCCTAATATAAATCTAACCCTGATGTTACACATTCTGACTTTATATTCAAAAAAGAGTCGGGAAGAAATGGTGATTTTTCTCTGGAGTTTCTGTCTGCACCTGTGTCATCCGTAAGTCTTCCTAATGACCTACAAATTTGCTTTTAAAAAACGTCTTCAAAGGGAACAACTTAAAGTAAATACTAATTCTTTTCTTGAGACACT